GCACGGAACAAAAATTTTATAATTTATGTATGATATTTTACAAATTAAATTTTTAACACAGAATAGATTTCACATATGATGTCTGAGATAGTATGATAAATAAAACTACTAAATCAAAGTTACTATTTTATATGTAGTAAATGATTACTCATTCTGAAAAACTTTAAATATACAATCTTTTGTAGAACAAATTCATTTCACATCATTGCATTTATTACTTTTTTTAATTCGTGGCACATGACTTTTGACACAACAACATGAAAATATTCAGTGTAATATATTAATAGTCTTTTAAAACGTGGAGCATACATATCAAGTTCAAACCATATTACAACACCCAAATCCCGTGTCAAAGTATATTTGAGAGTCCCTAAAATAAGAATTAGAAATCGAGAATATTATCCAAAATAGGACTAAAAAGTTTGAAAATAGGACATATTACTGCAATGTTTTGGCAGTATCAGACTTCAAACATGACAGTATTTTCTAAACTTAGCAGTAATTACTCCTATTTTGGGAATAAAAAACATGACAGTCATATTTTGGAATTTTCAAACTTTTTTAGTCCTATTTCGGGAACTTTCCCTTTTAGGGCAATCTTTCTATCTCTCACACACATACACATTTTTATATTCATTTTTTATATTCATTTTTTGCATTCATTATTAGTATTAAATACTCCGTATTAGTTTTGTTTGATCTTATTTTTTTGAAAGTGGACCTTACAATCTCACTTTTTTACATCTAACACTAATGTAGCCATTAATATTAATATTAATTCATCATAAAATATTGGAACTAATAGTCTAATTATATTGTGGGTCTGACATTCTCAAAATAAAATATAGGGTAAAAAATCATCTCAATTAAAAGTATTACCGAGTACACTTAACTTCAAAGACTATAAAAAACGTATTACCGACTACAGAGTAATTAATAAACAAATGGGATATATACTCTCATATGATACAATGATATCACCTCTCTGTCTTCCTAGATGCAGATTCCGAGCGAAGGTCTCTAGATCCACCTCTTTGTCTTCCTCTTTCCTGAGTTAACCGTAAGACCAACACCTCTCTCCCCTTTCTTGTCCAGAAAAAAAACAACTAAAATGATCTCTCCATTAACTTCGATGTCTCTCCGATGTGTTATCCACGACGAAGATGGATGTCCAGTTGTATCAACTTAGTTATTGGTCCAACTCTTACTGCCCAATTTGTTTTTGATGTGTTGAGCTCAAAGATTGTCTAGCGGGAGATGTAGAACCAACACTAAAAGAAAATGAACTCGTATGATATAAGGTAACAACAATTAAGCAATACGGAGTAATAATTTGCATATAGAACTGAAAGTCTGAAACGGGTGTAGCCTAATAATTGGAATGAGAACGAAACATGAAGTATGTTGAAGTAACCTATATTACGTGGGTGGGAAGTGGTTTGACTTGTAAGTTGTGGGTGGGAAGTGGGAACCGTCACAGAAGTTAAAATTACGTGATCGTCTGTTGTGTTATCCATATGAACACGTGTACCGAGCTAGTTAATGTGCAACTCCTGGAAATGTAATTCATTCTCAATTTTATCTAGAATTTTCCTAGAAACTAAGCCACGTGAATGTTAAGTTTTATTTCAGGCGGGAACAGTTTAGGGATAGACGATCCCATTATTATATATATAAAGATGAAATTGATTTTCTAGATTTATTATTTGTTTTAGAAATTCTTTTCAATTGCTAATAAACTACGTAGTAATAAATAATGGGGAAAGGGGAAGGGGGCTGAAGGTAGGCCTGTCAATGGGTCGGGTCTAGATCCGGATCTGACCCGGACCCGATTGTTTTTAATGGGTATGAGTCTATATTTTATTCCGTTTACCCGGACCCGGATCCGGACCCGTTAGTATTTTAACTAAACGGGTCGGGTATGATACATATGATTCCGACCCGCTAAGGACCCGAACCCGTTTAAAATTTCTTATTTGTATACACAGACACTAATACATGAAGTGATTAGTTATAACACTTTAAATAAAATAGAAACTAATATACATATATACATAATACTACGTAATACATAAAGTTATTAGTTGTGATTCTTCAATAAAATTATACACATTAATACATAACTACTATATAAGTGATACTGATCGAGATAGTAATATATACCCTAAAAGCACAATATTTATTACTATTATTATTAATATTATTATATCATTATCATATACTAGACATATGATTTTATACTCTTAGTAGTTCAAGAGATCTTTTTATGACTTAATTTCTAGTTTATTAATTATACGAGTTTTTTTGTGGGAGAGAAAGCGACGCAGAGTGTGGAGCTATATGCCTGTACAAGAACCGATACTTTATTAGATAAGAGTGCTAATTTTCTAGGAGAGACCTTGATTTTTTTTAATTAAGATATATTTTGCTTTTAAATTTGTGCACTTTGTTTTATACTCCCTCCGTCCCCCAATTAAGTTACTCCCTCCGTTCCAATTTGATTTGCAAAGTTTCCTTTTTTAGTTGTTCCAAAATGGTTTTCCACTTTCTATTTTAGGACTGTAAATAAGAATAAAGTGACAAATTTACCCTTACTTTTACTTTTTCCCCATTAACTTAAAGATATCTACTTTTAGAAAGATGGACAAAAGTGTAAAAAGCGAGCATCATTTATTGACATTTCTTAATCCTTGTGCTGGTCAAAGTTTGCAATTTAATTCGGGACGGAGGGAGTACCACTTTCCTTTTTGGGCACTCTAAATTAACTTCACACTTCTTTACTTTCCTTATTTGGCAAATTATCTAAATCAAAACAGTGCAAAATAGTGCCAAACAGTGTCAAACAATGTTTGAACAGTGCAAAACAGTGCACTCCATAGTAAAGTCAAATTTATTTTCTTAATACGTGTGAAGTCAAACCGAGAACTTAATTGGGGGACGGAGGGAGTATTTCACATACATGTCTTGTTATTTTCACAAAGTTTATAATGATGTGCGTATCATACTTGGCGGGCGGGTCTACCCGACCCGATTGCGAGACCCGTTGGGTCTAGGTCCGGGTCCATCATTAACTTAGCGGTCCGAGTCTGGGACACTATGTTCTGACCCGGACCCGACCCATTGACAGGCCTAGCTGAAGGTCGATGGGCCTAGGGATTGAGTGTTTGGGAAGTGAAAAGGACAATTAATTGATTGGGTGCGAAATGAAATGAAATGGAGTGGGTACAGACAAGTGACATTGGAAATTACTCCCTCCGTCCCTCAATTAAGTTCCTGGTTTGACTTCACACGTATTAAGAAAATAAATTTGACTTTACCACTGTTTTGCACTGTTCAAACACTGTTTGACACTGTTTGTGACAGTTTTGCACTGTTTGACACTGTTTTGATATAAATAATTTGCAAAATAAGGAAAGTAAGGAAGCGTGAACTTAATTTAGGGACTGTCTAAAAAGGAAAGTGGTAACTTAATTGGGAGATGGAGGGAGTAAATGGAGGGGAAACGAAAATATCCCATTCTTCCCTGGAGTTGCTGACGGCCGGCCATGTTGGATTGACAATAGTTCGGATTGCAGCTGAATTCAACTTGTATGGTTATGAATTAAAGTTTGATAGCTATAGAGTACAAGGGAAAATCATGTGTATGACTTTTTATTTTATAACTTTAGCGCTTTTAGGCTGACTGCAATGGAGGGGTGAAAACCCCAAATGTGAGATTTTCACCCCAAAAATGCTACAACCCAGAAGAATTTTCGTATAGGAAGGAGTGATAGCGAGTCTGGGAAACCTTGGGGGGCGACTCCTGGACGGGCAATTGCCTCCGGCCTCGATGCGACTTGCGCAATGGAGAAATTATTGGGCCTTCAGCTATGCCACGCGCCTGACAACCTGAGGATTAAAGGAATGGACTGGGTTGCTGCGTGGGAATTGGCTGCTGTGTTGCGGCTGAAAAGGGAGTGGGTGACCTGGCTTCTTGACCTCATTTGAGAGTTGCGGATGAAAAAGTGTGGTGGGGGCTTCTTGACTTCCTTTTGCAAGTGGGATTATTTAAAAAATACTATCTCCGTCCCTTAAAACTTTGCCAAAGTTGACCGGCATGGAGAATACTAAAGTAAAAACTGTGTAATTGAGGTTTGTGCAGAGGAGAGAGAAATAACAGAAACCACAAAGTAATTGATTAAAAGGGAAAGTGACAAAGTTTTTTGGAACGTCTCAAAAAGAAAAGATGACAAAGTTTTAAGGGACGGAGGGAGTATTGGTTTGATGTAATAATACTTGCAAAAACATTAATTCAAAATTTTTATTTTTTTACATCGAAATGTTTGATTTTTGTAATAATAATTATTGGTAAAAATAAAATTACCGGCCACATAAATGATGTGTAATAAAAAAAGTAAAGATTTATACATTTACTTGAAAAAATAGGTGTTGAGTGGACAGATTGACGGCGTTGGGTTGCAAAGAAAAACTGAATTAACTGGATGAATACGTATAGAGTTGTGTGAGATTAGATTTATTGACGGGTTGGGGTTGCGGTCAGCCTTATAAATTTGACTCTTCAAATTCACTCAAATATCAATAAATATGTCACTATATAACATTATCATCATAAATCATAATGATTGTCACAATAAATAGTGTTACAATTGAGGATTATAAAAATGTAGTGAAAAAAATAACAATGTCAATATTATAAAAAACATTGTCATTGATAATGTCATAAGAATGTTAATGACAAAGTCATAAGAATGTCAATAGAAAATAATGTCATTGATAATGTAATAAGAATGTCAATGACAATGTTATAAGAATGTCAATGACAATGTCATAAGAATGTCAATGACAATGTCATAAGAATGTCAATCATTATGAAAATGACATTGTTAAAACTAATGTCAACGCTCTAAAATATAAGTAGTAATTTTTATTTTCAGCAGGTGCAACGTTATCAAAACATAGCCAATTCACATTTATCACTATAAAAAACTTAACAATGTAAATGAAAGTGAAACCAAACATTTATAACAATGTCATAAACATAGAACATAACATAGCACTCTTCTACTCTCAAAAAACAAAACAAAACATGGAGTAACACTCACTTGTAGCAAAAACTCACTTACAATACAAATGAAATAGGAAATTACAACAACACAGAAACATTAAAAAAATTGAATTTCTTATGTTGTTGCAACTGGGGTTCTTACGTTTTGGTTGAGTTTTACAATCCTTATTTCTCTGCTTTTTTTTTTATTATTGACGGAAAGAATGACCTTTTCCCTCGATACGGCCCGGATCTTCTTCCCCTGCATCTCCTTTAGCATGGATTTGGCGAAGTCGATCATGGATTAAACAAATAAAAGCATCACCTGATCTCCTTTGCAGCAGGTTATTGGCGATAGTTTTCTTCATCTCCCCAGCTTCATCGGAAAGAAAAGAGAAGGAGAGGTGGAGGAGAAAAGAGAAGAAGAAGACAGATCTGATCGGCGACATGGGCTGTGGTAGGTCAGCGGCGGCGTGGGCTGTGACGCGGGCAGAGGCTTCGAGTGTTCTATCTGTGAAGAAGAAGAGGTGCAACATGGGAACAACGCCGTCGTTGGCCGTCGGCGTTGCTTCTCGTCAGCGCCGCTGATTTCCGCCGTCGCCTCCACTGGCCGTGCTCCGCTGCCTTCGTTGACCGTCATCCATCTCTAGTTGCGATTCCTTTGGGTTCCAGAACAGTTCTGTGCGGTAGCAGGTAAAATTGTTTCTTCATATCCTCTCTTTCATGCCGCTGAGTGATGTCGTTTTGACAACCCTAATCTCCAAGCGCTGGAAATCCTTTGGTGCACCATTGTTGAGTGTTGAGTCTGTAGCATTTAAAGATTGTGAATATTGAATGGAACAGAATAGTAGATGCTCTTCAGTTTCTTCCCAACACGGAGCTTTAAAAAAAAGAAGGGCAAATTCGGAAAAGATGGAAAAGGTGGAAACAAGTCAAGGTCTTATTTAATTACATACGAAAAGTTAACGCAATTTATATGGTACATTCGGGTATTATTGTAATCGTTCTTTCTTTTTTATTTATTTTTCTTTTTTTATTAACAACCTTTTCCATTAATTTCTTTTTTCCTTTCTCTAATCAACCTTTCTATATAACTCAAGTATTTCTTGAAATTATACATTATAAAATATTCTTGGTGTCGATGTTTTTTTTTCTATTTTAATTTTAAGATGAATATTTAAGAGTTTTTTTTTCAAAAATCTTTATTCTAATCATAAATATGTAATTGTTTCAATATTAAATAATGTAATAAAGTTTGTATGTTAATTATTTTCATATTGTGTGCTCATTATTAAGAGGAGATTTGTGTTATATTGAAATGAGTATAGTGTAAAAAATAAATGTGCATGATTAAACATTATAAAAAGAAAGGATTAATTTTGTAATTCAAGAATGACAATTATAAATTATTTTGAAACTTGAATTTGTTATATTTCTCATTGTTATATATATATTGATAGTTTAGTAAATTGTTAATAACGAATCTATTATATGTGCATGTTATAGAAATGAGCTTTATGTTAAACTCAAATGTATATAACGCTTAAAAAAATGAGCACACCCAAATGAATATTTGAGCACATTAGAGATTTTAACGAGTTTTTGAGTTTTGGGATGCTCATTTTGTAAGTTATGTATACTGATTCAGTACTGGTGTTATGTTCATTTGAAAATGTCATATCAATACCGACAAAACTCACGTGAACACATTGGAGCTTGCTCACATAATTTTAATGCTCAAAAATAGAAAACACAATACTCAATAAAGATGTCTTGATGCTCGAATGTCCTATTGAAAATTTTGTACTTAATTGAAAAGTTCATATGCTCACTACACATAGTCTCAATGCTCAATGGTCGCGAATACGATTCAATAATGAAATTTTGATACTTAGAAGATATGAAGCAGAGATCACGATTGATAGATTATTTATCTAGAGAGAAGGGAGAGCTAGAGAGAGAAATGAGTTGTACTCCCTCCGTCCCTAAATTATCTTCAAACTTTCCTTTTTCGTCCGTCCCAAAATTATCTCCTCTTCCCCCTTTTAGCAAAAAAATTGTGGTTCACAACCATTCTTACACATTCTTACACATTTCTCTCTCCTCTGCACAACTCTCCACCACACAAATCCCACTATCTTAATAAATGTGCCCAGCCGAAAAGGGAGAAAGATTAGGGACGGAGGGAGTATTAATTATTTTCGAACCCTTTACATGGCTTCCAAGGGGAGTATTTATAGGAAAAAGTGGGATGGGCTCCCAAGTTTTGGGCTTGGGAGGCCCATTACAATATAGAGCCTCTATTGGGCTGATTACATTAGAAGTCTAGTCCTGTGAGTTCCTTCTGGCCGACGGAGGCATGAACGACGGAGGTGCTCGGCCGACGGAGACATGGACGACGGAGGCGCTCGACCGACGGAGGCATGGCCGACGGAGACGCTCGGCCGACGGGGGCACTGGCCGACGGAGGACAAGTCTTCTCCTTGGCTTCTGGAGCGTATTCAGGGTTGACTCTTTTTCGGCCGATGGGGTGCCATCTGGCCGACGGAGGGCCTGCTGGATGACAGCTGTGCTCCTCTTAGTCTTCTGAGTATGTGGGTCATGGGGTCTGGACCCATATACTCCATCAACGATGCTCATTCTTAAGCTTTTAATGCTCAATAAAATATGTCTGATACTCACTAAAAAGTGCATTAATGCTCATTTAGCAGAAGACGCGAATTTCATTTAAATTACCAAAATGAGCACACTAAAGATTTAAAATGACCATGCAATAATGAATATACTTAAAAGTGATCCGGACATCCGGACATATATATTCACATTTTTATATTTTCAATGCTCATTTCTTAAGTAATGTATGCTCATTTGGTACTGATGTGAGTTCATTTTAAAAATGTTATATCAATGCATATTTATAAAGTATCATATTACATTGGAATCGCATATTGAAATTAATAGGGGTGAATTATAGATATAATTTAATAAGTTTTTGTAAGATAAAAAATAAGAAAAGAAATAGAATTAGAAGATATGAAGCAGAGATCGTGATACTCATTTTTTGTAATTTAATTAAAAAAAACCACGGCTTCTGCTTAACGAGCAATAAGGTACTTGATGGAGTATATGGCCCAAAGAACCCCCAGTCCATAGACTCCGACTACTATAACAAAGGCCCAATAAGCCCAGGAAGCACAGCAGGCCCAAATCACAGCGCGCCAAGTGCCAAGCAGCCCACGACGTACACTTGGGTGCCTTCGACCCCCATGGCTGAAGGCTCATAAACTTACAGTACAACTGCTTTTAAGCACTCGAAGTTACTAGAAGAAAGCGGCGAAAACAGTAGCCATCGGCACCTAGAGGTCCCCGGGATGTAGAGCCTTCGGCTAATCATCTACAGCCGAAGGCATCTTCCTCGACAGAATCTCCTCCCCACATGCGCTGGATCAACGTACCAAGTAAAAACGTTGCATCCAACCATCGCATTTAATGCGGCCACATGCGAATGTCAGTGCCGCCCCAGTTGAGGTGACCCCTCGACCACCAGATCGTTGACATGTGTCCCTATCTAGCATTTATTGCTGCTATAAATAGCACCCCTTTCCCCATTTGTAAACCACGCTCAATACAATTCGAATATACATTTGAACTCTTTATCTCTCTTCTTATTTGCTCCGACTTCTCTCTAAGTTACTCCCCGCAGTAACCCCTCGGATAAGCTACCCCCCGGGTACACTATCCATCATTTGGTGCTCTCGTTGAGAGGGTCGAACAATCAAGTAAGAAACCCTCCCCTTCACCTCAAAACACCTACCAAAATGGGAAGAACCACCCGTGCTCAGTCCAAGAACCTTGAGGACAACAACCTGGCCCTCGGTGAAGTCAACGCCCACGGAGCCTCTAACAAGGCTCCCGAGGGTGGGGTCATCACTGAGTTGGAACAGGCTGCTGTTGACCTGCGCCTTCAGCTCCAGCAAAACGCTCCCGATGCCTGCCTTGGCATCGAAACCCGAAGGAGGGACCGGAGCAAAAATCAAGTGAGCCCTCCGGTTCTCACTATCGACGTACAGTCGGCATTCTCTGCCTTCATCCAAACACTCACTCAAAACACAGGTGCCTTCAGCACTCTAGTGCCGCTTCAACCGCAAATCGGGAAGAACAGTGTTCTTCTCCAACGTCCACCCCCCTTCGTGACCCTACCCCTCGGGTGGGGAATGACGAAGGGGTTGTAGCTCATGACACCGCCTCCCAGGAAGTCCAATCCCGGGACCAACGTGGTGCGAACAAAGAAAGGCCTTGGACCTCAGCCCTCGAGAGGCTTGGAGGAGCGCAAGACCGCCAAGGGGTCCAAGACCGCCTCAGTGGAAAGGCGTCCCAAAGACCCCAAGAGAGCGGGGGATCCGTCTCAAGGGCAGACGAGAGGCGTCCCCATCAGGACAAAGGCAAGGCACCACTTCATGTCGATGACGCAAGACATCAAATCAACCAGGCCTACTCAGCCCTTGTTCGTTCGCAGGAGCGGAGGCTCTCCCGAAAGATCATAGGGACGAGATTATTGCGGCCCTCCAGCACCGGCTTGATGAAATGGAGGCCCATTGAGCACATACCGCCGTCGCCACCCCTCATGCAGATCCCAAATATGAGGCCATGATGGCCAAAATGGAGGAGATGCAAAAGAGAATAGCCGAAGGCTCTGGGGAACCCGTCATCCAACTCCGGACTAGGACACCATTTACCCCAAGGGTATTGGCGGCTCGAATTCCGGAAAAATACCGGAGGCAACCCATCAGGCCCTATGAAGGAAAAACCGATCCCCAGGAGCATTACAGCAGATATCAGAACAATATGATGATGGTGGGGGCATCAGACGAATATTTGTGCCGTTGGTTCCTCTCCACCTTAGAGGGACCAGCATACGAATGGTTCAACCGATTACCCGAAGGCTGCATCGATTCATGACAGGAACTCGCCCAACGTTTCTTGACGCAGTTTGCAGGGAGATGCCGGTCAAGGAAACATTTCTCCCACTTGCTGATGGTGAGACAAAGAAAGGAGGAGACCCTTCGGGACTTCTTGGAACACTGGAGGATGGAGGCGGATAAAGTTGATGGCACTGACGATGGGACCCTCCTGGCCCTCCTTCAAACAGTCCTCTGCCCCGGGAACTTTTCAAGGAGCCTCATCATCGAACCTCCCCGCGATTACATAAGGGCCCTACAGCGGGGGACCGGTAAGCCGAGGCCGAGGAGGTGAAAAAATGCCATCACAACCCTGATCAGAAATGCCCTCGGCCAGATGACAAGGGCAACCGGGGGCCGAGGGCTCCCCCAAATCAATCCAAAAGCTCGGCGCCCCCGGTGATCGCCCCCGGCATGGCCAAGCCAAGCCCGGGGGAGGTTACAAGGGCAACCCGAAGGCTTGGGCCCAGCCCATTCTCTTGGAGCACCCTTGGACGCCCTTGACACACCCCGTCAGTGTCATCCTAGACTTCGTCGAGGAGAGGGGCCTAGTGGAGCGCGACTCTCGCGCACCCCAGGAGGTATATGCCGTCAACCCCAATTATCCTTACTGTCGGTTCCATCGCAACCAAGGGCACATGACCAATGACTGTCATCAGATGAAGACGGCCATTGAGAGGTTGATACAGGCGGGCCATCTATCTCAGTTCATCCGAGGCCCTCCTGCCCAGGGAACCCCTCACTACCAGGGGCCCCCTAAGAAAGCGAATGCTTGGGTCAACCCAAACACTATCCCCCTTGGCGACCCGAAGGGTAAGAAAAGGGAGATTGGGAACCTCGATGAGGAGGAAGAGTACAACCACTACCAGGAGAAGAAACGCCACATCCATATGATCACTGGCGGCAACACCGGAGGCGACTCCACGAGCCAAAGGAAGAAGTGGGATCAATCTCTCTACATTGGGGAAGTCAACCATATACCCCCAACCAAAAGGCCGAGGGTGGATCCCATCTATTCCACAGATGCGGATCTGCCCCCGGGTGCCCTTCGTCACAGGGATGCCCTCGTCATCCGTACGGAGATCAATGACACCATCATCCTCCGGACCTATGTTGATACCGGAAGCTCCGTCAACGTGATGTATCTCAGCATCTTCCGAGAGCTTGGACTTGATATGGGATC